TGTAGTGTCCCCAGCCTTATTCTTGGGGAGAAAAACAAAACCCATGAGTGAAGGAGCCGTAGCGCATTCTTCTTCTGGGGGGTCAGCACAGTTGGCCGCAGTCAGCCACTTTTACTAGGTAGCCGGATCCCTCCTGCCTCTTGCCTTCCCTCCTACCTTTCTCATGCTGGGAATATTATATTCACAGGCCACACAATATGTGTGGTTCATTTTCTTGACATTGAACTTTGACCTGTGTGGAACCTTAGAGCAATGGCTCTCAACCTACTCCCACCCCTCTCCCAAGTTTCTGATTGAGAAGGTCTGGGCTAGCGTTCAATAATTTGGATTTCCAGCACATTTCCAGGTGATGCTGGGACCACATTTCATGAACCACCCACCTACCGCTAAATGCAGCCTTGAACTAAAGTGGTTGTTACATTTTTAAAGGATTGTAAAAAACACAAAGAATAAGACACAGAAATCCTACATAACCTGCAAAGCTTAAAAGCATTTATGACCTTGTCCTTTTTTTGTTTTTTTTGAGTTGGAGTCTCACTGTCACCCAGACCTGGAGTTTAGTAGCATGCTCATGGACACTGCAGCCTTGACCTGCTGGACTCAGGTGATCTTTCCACCTCAGCTTTCCAAGCAGCTGTAACCACATGTGGACCACCATGCCCAGCTAAATTTTCTAAAATTTATTGTAGAAACAAGGTCTCATCAAGTTGCCCAGATTGGTCTCGAACCTCTGGGCTCAGGCAGTCTTCTCTCCTCTGCCTCCCAAAGTGCTGGGATTACCGGCATGAGCCACTGCGCCCAGCTATAATCTTGTCCTTTACTTAAAAAGTTTGCAGACCCCTGACATAGAACATGCACCAGGGCCTTGGCCTCTGAGGTTTTAATGCAGAAGTGCTTCTGTTCAAATTCTGAAATGGAAGAGATGATAAATATTGATAATGATTTTCATTTGTTCACAAATTACTCTCCAAATGTGTCTTCACTTTATCCCTTTTATAAAGGCCCAATATAGCCTTATATAAAGCATACAGAAATGTTTTGCATATGTTAAGAATGTTATGCATTATTTTATTTTTAGATCGACAATACTGTACATCATACACAATTTTAAAAGGCATTAAGCCAGGCTCGGTGGCTCAGCCTGTAATCCCGCGCCTTTGGGAGGCTGAGGTGAGTGGATTGCCTGAGCCCGTGGGTTCGAGACCTGCCTGGGTAGCGAGATCTCATCTCTACAATAAATTAAAAAATCAGCCGGGCGTGGTAGCGCATGCCTGTAATTCTGGCTACTCGGAAGGCTGAGGCGGAAGGATCGCCAGAGCCCAGCAGGTCGAGGTTGCGGTGGCCGGGAACGGCCACTGCACTCCAGTCTGGGTGACAGAGTGAGACTCCAACTCAAAAATAAAAAATAAAAAAATAAAAAATAAAATAAAAGGCATTAAAAGGGTACATAGTGATGAATAAGTCTCTGATACCTGTTTTCTACCCCCTCGTTCCCTTCCCCTGGAGGTTACCATCATTACCTTGTGCATCCTTTCAGAGGTAGTCTTGAGATTGTACATATGCAGTCATTTACTTATCTATACATGCATGAACTACATGTATAAAATACGTATGCATACACATATACATTTTAACGTAATGACATTAAACTCTCCGTACTGTTCTACATCTTTTTTTCATTCCTCATTATTCCTTGGAGATCGTTCCATGTGTACCTTTTTCATTCTTCTTAACTGCCACATGTAACATTAGGTTGTATGGATATGTCATAATTTGTTAACCATTTTCCTAACAGTGAACTTGAGGTTGATAAGCTCCTGGAAAGGAATTTCTAGGTTCAAGGGTGTTTACATTTGTAATTTTTTGTGGATTGCACTGTGTCACTCTCCAGAGGGTTGTATGCATCCTCACTCCCATCAGCAATGCAAGAGGGTGCTGCCTTTCCCTACACACCCTTGGAATACCCTGTGATCCAGACAGTTTGATCTTGGCCAGTCTAATAAATGAAAAAAGTGTGGTTTTAGTTTGTTTTTTTCTCTCACTAGAGCAGTTGAACATCTTTTCATATGTTTAAGAATTGCTTGTAGTTATTTTTTCTGTGAACTGTATTCAGATACTTCATCTAATTTTCTGTTAAGTTGCTGGTCTTATTAATTAATAGAGTGTCTTTTTATAAGTTCTCTTATTTATAAATATTTTTCTAGTTTGCCATTGTCTTTTGATTCCATCTTCTCCTTTTGCTATGCAGTGTTTTAACCTTTTTTTTTTTTTTTTTTTTTTTAGTTGTTGTCTCACTCTGTTGCCCTGGCTGGAGTACAGTGGCACACTCACGGCCACCACAGCCTCGACCTGCTGGGCTCGGGTGATTCTTCCGCCTCAGCCTTCCAAGTAGTTGGAACTTCAGGCTCATGCCACCACACCTGGCTAATTTTTTTTTAAATTTATTTTGGTGAGAGATGAGGTCTCACCAAATTGCCCAGGCTGGTCTCGAACCCATGGGCTCAGGCAATCCTTTTCACCTCGGCCTCCTAAAGTGCTGGGATTATAGGCATGAGCCACTGTGCCTGGCCTTTTTTTTTTTTTTTTTTTTTTTTTTTTTT